TATTTATTTATTTTGTGGAACCGGGGATTGAACTCAGGCCCTTGCACTTGCCAGGCAAGTGCTTATTCTACTGAGCCATATTTTTTATGTATTTAGTATAGGGTCTTACAGGGTCTCACTACACAGATCAGACTGGTACTGATCCTCCTGTTTTCAGCCTCCCAAGCCCTGGGATTACAGGCAGGCATGTACCCAGTCTCAGAGGAGGCTCAACCTCAACACACCCAGGGGGCAGGGCTGTCACAGCATGCCAGGAATAGAACCCTGGTCCCTGCTCCTGCCTAAGCAGGCACCTTAGTCCACTGAGCTATCTGGCCTTCCCCAGTCCATTTAATCTGCACTTGAGTGCATTTTTCTGTGGCTTTGTAATATTTTTGCAGTTCTATATTGACTTAAGTGCCTTCATTGAGTCTGAGCCAAGCATTGAGACTGTAGCCATCCTGTTATAGTTTACAGACTTGCTATTAGTGTTTTGCCTTCTGGGGACTTTGATTTGTTCTTATTTTGTTCATGATAATTGTGCAGTAGAGTAAGGGGATGGCCTCATTGTTGAAGTATGTCTTAAACATGTATGGCTTTGCTTGAGTTTTTCATTTCCCCATCCTAGGTATTCCTGGAACGGAGAGCCACTCTTTCTCACCTGTGCTACCCCGGAAGTCTCTGCGATTCCAGACTGCGGTCACTGTGGTGGCCAAAGGACATTTGAATTTCAGCTTATGCCAGCACTGGTCAGCATGCTCAGAAGTGCTAATTCAGGTAAGAATCCCTTTATTAATTTCAGTTTTAGAATTTCTGGCATTATTCTGGAATTATATTAACATAAAAGACTTTTGTTTAATTCTAAAATACTATAGCATATTATAGAATATATAGGAAAATTTTTTTTTAAGATTTATAACCCAGGGGACTGGGGAGATGGCTCAGTGGAATAAGCACTTCCCTGGCAAGCGCAAGGGCCTGAGTTCAATCCCCGGTTCTGCAAAAAAAAAAAAAGATTAATAACCATTAAGGTTGATTTATTTAATTAATTTATTTATTTATTTATTTTTATTGGCGGAACCTGGGATTGAACTCAGACCTTTGCCCTTGCCAGGGAAGCACTTATTCTGTTGAGCCATCTCCCCAGCCCCTTTTTAGATTGATTTAAAGCCAAGATATTTTCTATCTTAAATTTTTTATCATACTTATTAAATGTAATTATAATATAACAAAAGTACTATCTTTTTTTTTGTGCCACCACAGTCCTTTTTCAGGACTTAATTAGTTTTGAGACATAGTCTTAAATAATTGTTGAATCTGGTCTTGAATTTGTTTTGTATCCTTTTTTTAAAAAATGTATTTGGTACAGGATCTCAGTATGCAGCTTGGACTCATAGGATCTTCCTGCTTCAGCCTTCCCAGTGCTGGGATTCCAGGCCTGCACCACCAGACCTGGTCGTGGCCGGGCTCAGCACACCCCTGGGCACAATTGGCATGGCCTGTAGTGCTGGAGATCAAACCCTGATCACTACGCTTGCCTAAGCAGGTGCTTAATTCGCTGAGCTATCTCACAGGCCGGTGGGCTTGAATTTGTGGATCCTCTTGACTTAGTCTCTCAGAGTGTAGAGATTGTAGGTTTCAGCCGCTGAGCCTGGCTAATGGCCAATAGATCCATTTTTAAATGTCATATAAGTTTTGAAATACATTTATTCTGTTCTAAGCATGATGGCATTAAGCATTTTAGGGAGGTGGAGGCAGGAGGACAAAACTCTGAGTCTAGCACTCAGGAGGCTGAGGTTGGAGGATCCCCACATGTTAGAAGCTAGCCTGGCTATGTAATGAAACCCGAAAGTGTTACTCAGTTCTTTCAGCATTCATTGTTGATGCTGAGAGCACTATCACTATGATAATTTTTATTTTATTAGTGTTTTTCTAAAGCATCGTGTCCTTATGTTGCCTAGACTGGACTCAGGTTTAACAATCCTCCAGCCTCAGCTTCCTAAGTAGCTGGGATTATAGGTGTGTACCTTCGTGCATGGCTCCACTGTAGTTTTTAAAAATCTTACTTGGTTTTTGTTTTTTCTGAGAAAGGATCTTGCTGTGAATTCCAGATTGGCCCCAAACTCACTGTGTAGCCCAGGTTGGCATGAAACTATTGACAAATCCTCTTTTTCTTTCCCCGTCAGCCTTTTATTGAAGTAAATGCATAAAATTGGTTAACAAAGTAGAAAAAAGAGGATCCAAGATGAAAGGTGGTAACATAGCAATGGAAACATAAAAAAAGCTGGAATAGGCAGGACTCAAACTTGCTGTAAAGGTACTATGGCAAATCAACAAAACATACTGAGTAAAAGAAAGGGGATTCCCAGTGTTCCTCACCTCCCTTGTGCTATAGGATCAGCACTGCACCCAGCGTGTAATCAAAAACGTGAGGCATGTGGCCCATTCTCAGACTCTGCTCACTGAAGTTAGCAAGGAGCAAACCATTGTAAATTAATCAACTTTTCTTAAGTAGGACAGAGTTATGCATAAAATAATTTCGTATGTCTATAGATATAGAATAAAAGCTTTACTAACTGGTCTTTACCATTACTAAAAAGAATTTATGGATGCAAATGTGTACGTAATCAGTTACCACCCATTTACTGAGGCAGCTAATGATGTAGTCATATGCCTCTTTTTTTTTTCTTTTGTGGAGCCAGCAATTGAACTGAGGCCCTTGTGCTTGCCAGACAAGCACGTATTCTACTGAGCCATCTCCCCGGCTCCCATATGCCTCTTAATAAACAATGCCGGGGCTGGTGGGATGGCTCAGTGGTCTTAAGCACCTACTTAGTACAAGCTTAGGGAAGCACGGGGACCGGGGTTCGATCCCCCAGAGCCACATGCCGGCCGGCCCCGCCCCCTGGTGGGCTGAGCTGGCCACACACACACACATAAATAAATAAATAAATTTAAAAAAAAATAAACAATGTCATAGTAACAAAAAGTCCAGATAAGATGTGAGGTTTGTTTTGTTTTTTTTTGTTTTTGTATTTTTTAGTAGGGGTCTACAGGGTCTCACTATGTAGATCAGACTTGTAGTGATCCGCCTGTGTTCAGCCTCCCAAAGAGTTGGGATTACAGGCACGCCACCACCTAGCCCAGTCTCAATCACGGTTTCATCACGTCCTAGGGATGGGGTTGGCACAGCACTCTGGGATCAACCCCAGGCACTTGTGTCTGCTTAGGCAGGTGCTTTAATCTGATCAGCTATTTGGCTGACCCCCAAGACTTTCAGAAAGCCACATTTCATTGTAATATCACCCTTGTCTCCTTTTTATTTTTTTATTTTTATTTTTATTTTTTTTGGCAGAACCAGGGGTTGAACTCAGGCCCTTGTGTTTGCCAGGGAAGCGCTTACTCCACTGAGCCATCTCCCCGGCCCCCGTTGTCTCCTTTTTAAAAGGCTGTGGCTCAAGAAGCTTTTATGGGCCTTTCTCTGAACACATAAACAGGACAAAGCCAATACTAAGAGTTAGCACTTCTAATCTTTGAACAAGGAAAATAACTAAAATTACAGACATCATTCCTTCTTTTATTCTTATTTACCTTGAAAAATATAAAAACCGTTTATTAGAAACCAATACATAAAGCATCAAAGAAAAGATAACAGAAGGAGCATCAATTTTACATTGCACTACAGTTTCAAAGGTAGGATTTTAAGATTTTTTTTAAAACAGAAAACCTAAGGGGCCGATGAGATAGCTCAGTGGGGAGCTGGGGAGATGGCTCAGTAGAATAAGCACTTCCCTGGCAAGCACAAGGGCCTGAGTTCAATCCCCGGTTCATGCCAAAAAAAAAAAAAAAAAGCCCAACAAAATACAAACTTTCTTTTCCTATTAATCAGCTGTGAAACTGTCTCATTCATATTTATTTCTCAATAAAAAAAATTAATTAATTTTTAAAAAAAGAGCTCAGTGGACTAAGTGCTGGCTTTGGCAAGCACAAGGACCAATATGAATCCCTGGTCCCGCATGCCACACTGGCCACGGTCCTGCATTGAGCCAGTAACACAGTCCAGGCATGGTGCCCACTGAGGAGGCTAAAAACAGAATCACTGAGTCCAAGCTGCATAGTGAGACCCTGTACCAAATACATAAGGGGGGGTGGAGCAGAAAACCTAGGTAGGAGGAATTTCTTAAGAAAATTCTGTTTTGTTTTGTTTTTTTTTTTTTTTTTTTTGGCAGAACCAGGGATTGAACTCAGGCCCTTACGCTTGCCAGGGAAGCGCTTAATCCACCGAGCCATCTCCCTGGCCCCGAGGAATTTCTTAAAAACCACATTTTCACATTACCAAGTGTTCCCAACTACTGTGACTGACATCTGCTTAGACTTTTTTTTTCTTTTTTCCGGAACTGGGGATTGAACTCAGGCCCTTGCACTTGCCAGGGAAGCACTTATTCCACTGAGCCATCTCCGCGGCCCCTACTTAGACTCTTGGCTCTCTTTTTTCAACTTTATTTTATTAAGATGTCTGCTGATTATGCAGTCCTACGTATTAACCCAGAATATGTAGGAGACATCATGCCTTACTGATAATCCAACTCTTAGTACTTTATATAAAGATAGGCCTTAGAAAAGTTGGGGAC